GCCTCCAAGTGCCCGGTAGCTTTCGAAGGTGAAGATGGCCAGTCACAAAGCTGAAACCCGTCACAGACGCGGGTCAACACGATGACGAGCACACAGCGCAGCTCGCAAAGACTCTGTCCATCCATGTGCGCCGGCCTTGGAAGGTCGCTTTGGGGGTGGGGGGGGCTTGTCGCGCCAATCCCTAACAGGGGCCATCCTCGTGGATCTCGACGTCGCCTGGATTGAAGACCTGACTGCGCCTTGCAGGTCTGGGCCCTTGAACTCATGGGGAAGAGTCACACTGGACGTCGAATGGCAGGTAGCCGCAACGATATGAAATGTCAGTCGACGCGTAATCCGGCCATTCTCTTTCGGGCAAAATCAGAGTGAGGGGGCTGAACCGAACGGTCATTCACTGTCCCTGGGTGCGTGGCTAAAGTGGAATTCCGCGATGCGGATTCTTGTTGTTGCTGTTTGTTGTTTGTTGTTTGTTGTTGTCGTCGTCCCACCCGCGACCCGCCCCGCGACCCACCCGCGACCCACCCCGCGACCCACCCGCGACCCACCCGACACCCACCCCGCGACCCACCCGCGACCCACCCCGCGACCCACCCGCGACCCACCCGCGACCCACCCGCGACCCACCCCGCGACCCGCCCGCGACCCACCCCGAGACCCCCCCGCGACCCACCCGCGACCCACCGGCGACCCACCCGCCACCCACCCCGCGACCCACCCCGCGACCCACCCGCGACCCACCCGCGACCCACCCGCGATCCACCCCGCGACCCACCCAAAATTTTCGGCGCCTGCGGCGGGTTTCTTTTTTGCATTCGTTCCAGGTGGAGAACCTGCGACCCACCCGCGACCCAAACCGCGCCCGCGACCCACCCGCGACCCACCGCGACCCACCCCGACCCACCCGCGACCCACCCCGCGACCCAACCAAAATTTTCGGCGCCTGCGGCGGGCTTCTTTTACATTAGGTCCAAGTAGAAAACCTGCGACACAACCGCGACCCAAACCGCGTTCAGTGTACAAATCAAAATTTTCAGCGCCTGCGGCGGGCTGTTTTTGAATTCCTTCCAGGTGGGGGTGGGGAGCCCCCGACCCACCCGCGACCCAAACTACGTTCACTGAACAAGTCAAAGCTTCGGCGCCTGCGGCGGGCTGTTTTTGCATTCGTTCCGGGTGGCCCACCAGCGATCCCCCCCGCGCTGAACTTGTCAGAGTACGAGGGCGAGAAGGAAAAGGAGGGGGGGACGGAGGGGGACGACGAGAAAAGGAGGGAGGAGGAGGGGGAGGAGGAGGAGCAGGAGGAGGAGGAGGAGGAGGAGGACGACGACGGAAAGGAGGAGGGGGGAGGATCGGGATGGGGGAGGAAGAGGAGGAGGAGGAGGAAGAGGAGGAGGAGGTGGAGGAGGAGGCGGACGACGACGACGACGGTGAAGACGAGGACGCGGACGAGGAAGAGGAGGAGGAGGAGGAGCAGGAGGAGGAGGAGGGCGCCATCGACAGGGAAGGTTAGGGCAGCGAGGTCCGCCGGCTCGACGCCCGCGTCGCCCGCGCCCGCCCCCTCACTCTTATCCGCAATTGCGGGGTGCTACATACTTCAGGAAGACGCTCGTCAGCCTGGCTGCTTCAAAGAGAATGGCGCCCTGTTCAGCTCGGCGCACGCATGCGCAGCATGGGGAGGGGTCCATTGACCTGCAAGAAAGGCTAGAAGAAGTCCGAGCCGCACAGCAGCCAAAATACACAAGGGGCCCTTTCCCTGGATAGGGTGATGGCGCTCATGGGTCTGGAGCTCGCAGGGTTCCCCGCGCGCTGGCTGCGACAGGGCGCCCGGGAATTTGCCGAGGAGGGCTTCGCGGAGCACAGGTGCGATAGTCGAACGCGCGGGGGTCGCTGAAGTCCACGCTGGGGGCGCCAGTCGTCTACTCGGGCCTCTTCTCCACAATGGGGGTCTACATCGGGGCAGATTTTCGCGAGGAGTCTCGCGGAGGTTCCCCATGGCCACGTACGTTGCTGATGCGGACCGGTTCTCGTTCGTCGGCGATGTTGGCTTTCGGGCGAAACCGTCACAATGCGAGGGCCGCGGCATGGAACGACGCTGACCCCGAGGGAACCCAAAGAATCGGAAGAAATAGTCAGGGGCCTCCACGACGTCTAAGTTATATCCAGGCCGGCTACCTGGAGAACATATGGGAAAGATTACCAATCTGATATGCTCCTGCATACGCCCAAGAACTTCCGAACCCCCTGAACCCCGACCTGCCCGAAGTTCAGCTTTCCCAACACGAGCTGCCGAGTGCGATCCCCATATGTACACTACCGCACGATGGGTTCTGTAGACTGGCCTAGCATACTGGCCACCGCTGACTGGATGATCGGCTCGTTCCAGTTCTGCAGCGCCTGACGCCACTCAAGGAGGAAGGAGATGGCGCGTTCTTCTCGACCAGCGCCGCGGGGATGGCTTTTCGAATTCACGCCGCAGCCGAACGGTGCATGAAAGAATTCGGGCGATCGCCGGCGTACCCCACAGCGCAGGGCCTCTAAAGGCTCGAAGAGCTGAAAGTCGATGTCCACTGTGGTGAGTTATCATCGCAAACGCGGTAGACATGAACGTGAGGAAGTAGCGATGGGCCTTCACTTCCCGAAGCCAGCCTCGAATCGTCCACCAACTTCTCCATTAGGCATGTTCGAATTCGGTTTGAGAAGTGTTCTCAAAACTGTGCGTGCCTTCTGGGAAGCACGCTGTTGACCACATGAGAATTGGATCAAGAATCTTGGTAATTCAACGGCCTCGCCCCCGGATGGCACCACTGGTTCCAACGAGGCTGCCAATTGTAGTGGCTGGAGTCGTCCGAAGTGTCGGAGCTGTCCTGGTACGCGCCTTCGTCTAGCTGCTGCTGGATCCATTCGTGCATGATCGGCTGGGTCATATTGTACGTCTGCTCCTCGTACTGCTCTAGGGGCTCCAGGGCGGCATGAGACCTCCTCCATGCCATCGACTGGTCCCACAAGACTGGCCCGTACATCTGATAATACTGGATCCCTGTCTGAGTCACATGCCTCAGCCACTGTTCCTGTACATGGGAAACAAAGACTCGTACAAGTGAGTAGATCACAAGAAACTTGCCCAACTCATACAAGGACAGCACCATCCAAGTGAAGACTGCCATCGCACACAGAAACACAACGGAGAAATAGGAAAGAGTAGGTCGTGGATTCGCTGCTGGACTCGGTATGCACGTACACTTGAAGTGTAAAGAGCGTGGGCCGTGAAACTCCCGTCGCCCCATTGGAGAACCGGGTTGGAGCACGCTTCGAGAGGGTCCCGTCCTGCTGGAGCAAGTTGCCCTGCATTCCTGCGCCAACAAACGAAGAGATACCAAAGAGAAAGAGAAAGAGAGAGAGAGGGAAATAGAGTCCACCCTAGAAAGAGAGAGAGAGAGGGAGAGAGAGAGAGGCAGAAAACGAATAGAGAGAGAGAGAGAGAAAGAGCGAGAGGGAGAACAAAAACAAGTGCGAAAAAAGGAGAGAGCGTGATCCACCGCCGCTTTACTATGGAAAATTGCCAACCTTTTCCTCCAGAACCCGGGGGTCTCCCCCCCCCCCCTCCGAAAATCCCCCCCCCCCTCCCCCCCCCCTTCCCCCCGGCAAAACCCCCCCTCCCCTAACCCCTCCCCCCCCCCTCCCCCTCGAAAACCGGGGGGGGGTCACTACCGGTTCGAACCCCTCCCCCCCCCCCCCTCCGGATCCGGAAAACCGGGGGGGGTCACTACCGGTTGGACCCCCCCCCCCCTCGAAAACCGGAGGGGGGTCACTACCGGTTCGACCCCCCCCCCACGCACCGCCAGCAAACGACTCCCGGTCCCTACCACCGCTCGCATCACATCCCCCACTGTTGTTCCCAGCACCACTGTCCTCACCACCACTGTCCCCACTGGTTCCACCACCGTCCCTATTGTCCCCACCAGTGCCCCCACCACTGTCGCACTGTCCCCACTGTTCCCACCACTGTTCCCACCACGGTTCCACTCTCCCCACTGTCTCCACGGACCCAACCACTGCCTATCCCCACTGTCCCCACTGTCCCACTGACTCCTCCGCTGTCCCACTGAGCTGTCCCACTGTTCCCACCACTGTCCCCACTGTCCCCACCACTGTCCCCACTGTACCTCTGTCCCATTGTCCCACCGCCGTCCTCGCCACCGCCTTTACCACTGTCCCCACCACCATTGTACCCTCCACTGTCCCACTGTTTCCACCTCATTCCCACTGTCCCCACACCACTGTCCCCACCACCACCGTCCCCACCACTGTCCACTGTCCCCCCTGTTCCCACCATTGTCCCCACCACTGTCCCCACCACTACCGTCCCCACCACTGTCCCACTGTCCCACTGTCCCCACCACTGTCCCGCTGTCCCCTCACCACTGTCCCCAAACACCGTCCCCACCACTGTCCTCCGCACCCCCACTCGGTTTTCGAGGGGGGGGGGGGTTCGAACCGGTAGTGGCCCCCCCCTTTTCATGATGAACTGGGCGGGGGGGGGAGGGGTTCGAACCGGTAGTGACCCCCCCCGGTTTTCCGGAGGGGGTGGGGGGGGGAGGGGTTCGAACCGGTAGTGACCCCCCCCGGTTTTCCGCCAGCAGCGGTAGAACACGCTCTTTCGAAAAAAAGTGAGAGAGGGCAGGCGCGGAGCGCCAGCGGAGGAGGGCTGCACGCGCCTCTCCTCGGGGTCTCCTCGAGCGCTTCGGGCTGCGCTGCCGCTGCGCCCTGCAGACACCTCCTGCCGCCCTCTTCTGCTCCTCCTCCTGCTCCTCCTCCTGCTCCTCCTCCTCCTCCTCCTCCTCCCTCCCTCCTCCTCCTCCACCCCCTCCCTTCCTCCTCCCTCCTCCTCCTCTCTCCTCCTCCTCCTCCTCCTCCTCCTCCTCCTCCTCCTCCTCCTCCTCCTCCTCCTCCTCCTCCTCCTCCTCCTCCCACTCCACCTCCTGGTGTAGAATGGGCAGCCTGTCCTTGAGTATGACGCTGCTCAGCGGGCGCACGGGGCAGATGACCCGCGCGTGCCAGAACTGGTTATTCGCGTTCCACTCGAAGACGTTGGTGAAGCCTGAGGTGCAGGAGGGAAGCTCTCAAATCCCGTGTACTTATACAATTCGCGATCACGCCCATGACCGCCCCCCCCCCCCGCGGTCACAGAACGATTCGCGCCGGCGCCGTGTGGGCTTTAGCTATCCCTGTGCACTTCCAGACGGCGGCGGCGCGAGTCTTGACGTGACCGTTCCCGACCCCCCCTCTCCCCCAGGTCACGGCTCGTACAGTCAATCCGCGTAATAAGGAGGGGTATCCCTCCCAATGTACCCTTGCATCCTTGCCTCCTCGGTCCATCCTTGGTGAAGGGGCCCTGGGACACACAAATAAATAGACACAAACAACGGGATTCCCCATATTTTCATATATTACCTAACAGCGAAGACTGATAGGTTTCTAGTGGTGTCAAAAGAGAGCAGCAGATGACTCCACAGGGGGGTCCGGGCGGGACCCGGGGCGGCTGCCGCCGAAGCCCAAATCGCCTAGGACATCCTCGCAAAATCGCTCTTGGCGCTGCTAGAACTCCATTCCCGGCGTACATTTTCGATGCCCGGAGCCAACTGTAGGCCACTTCGTGGTCTTCGAGTTCCCAGAACTCCATTCCCGGCGTACAGTTTGGATGCCCGGAGCCAACTGTAGGCCACTTCGTGGTCTTCGAGTTCCCAGAACTCTACTCCCAGCGTACATTTTGGATGCCCGGAGCCAACTGTAAGCCACTGCGTGCTCTTCGAGTTCCCAGAACTCTATTCCCGGGCCACATTTTGAATGCCCGGAGCCAACTGTAGGCCACTGCGTGCTCTTCGAGTTCCCAGAAGTTCATTCCTGGGCATGATTTTGAATGCCCGGAGCCAACTGTAGGCCACTTCGTGTTCTTCGAGTTCCCAAAACTCCATTCCCGGGCCACATTTTGAATCCTGAGGCAGGCTGATGCTGAGGCTGAAGGCAGGCTGAGGCTGAGGCAGGCTGAGGCTGAGGCCGAGGCTGCAGGCAGACTGAGGCTGAGGCTGCAGCAGGCTGAGGCTGAGGCTGAGGCTGAGGCTGAGGCTGAGGCAGGCTGAGGCTGAGGCTGAGGCTGAGGCTGAGGCTGAGGCTGAGGCTGAAGGCAGACTGAGGCTGAGGCTGAGCAGGCTGAGGCTGAGGCTGAGGCTGAGGCTGAGGCAGGCTGAGGCTGAGGCTGAGGCAGGCTGAGGCTGAGGCTGAGGCTGATGCAGGCTGAGGCTGAGGCAGGCTGAGGCTGAGGCCGAGGCTGAAGGCAGACTGAGGCTGAGGCTGAAGCAGGCTGAGGCTGAGGCTGAGGCAGGCTGAGGCTGAGGCTGAGGCAGGCTGATGCTGAGGAGGCTGAGGCTGAGGCTGAGGCTGAGGCTGAGGCTGAGGCTGAGGCTGAGGCTGCAGCAGGCTGAGACTGAGGCCGAGGCTGAGGCTGAGGCTGAGGCTGAGGCTGAGGCTGAGGCAGGCTGAGGCTGAGGCTGAGGCTGAGGCAGGCTGAGGCTGAGGCTGAGGCTGAGGCTGAGGCTGAGGCTGAGGCTGAGGCTGAGGCTGAGGCAGGCTGATGCTGAGGCAGGCTGAGGCTGAGGCTGAGGCTGAGGCTGAGGCTGAGGGCTGAGGCTGAGGCTGAGGCCGAGGCCGAGGCTGAAGGCAGACTGAGGCTGAGGCTGAAGCAGGCTGAGGCTGAGGCTGAGGCAGGCTGAGGCTGAGGCTGAGGCTGAGGCTGAGGCTGAGGCTGAGGCTGAGGCTGAGGCTGAGGGCTGAGGCTGAGGCTGAGGCTGAGGCAGGCTGAGGCTGAGGCTGAAGGCAGACTGAGTTGAGGCTGAAGCAGGCTGAGGCTGAGGCTGAGGCAGGCTGAGGCTGAGGCAGGCTGAGGCTGAGGCTGAGGCAGGCTGAGGCTGAGGCTGTGACTGCGACTGCCGTTGCCACTGCGACTGCCATCGCGAATGCGACTACGACTGCGAGAACAGCAGAATTCTACAACAGGATTCTCATGTGAATCTTAAGGGGAATGCTTCCAGATATGCTCCTACACATCGCTGTTAGGTTGCTTTGCCGGGATAATTTTCTGGTTTTTTGTCTCCTCCCCCACTTCCCATATTTTCCCATATTTTCTGGGGAATCGACGATTAATTTTGCCCTTGTGTTTGTTTCCCTCCTGACTTGGCCACTTTCGCTGGCCGCGCTCCGCACTCGAAAAGCTTTCGAAATGGGCGCCCAGGGCCCCTGCACCCTTATCAGGCATCCTCATGATACGGGCCGGCTGCATCGCCAGGGGGTAACAGGACATCTCTTCAGTCGGAGCGTATGCGAGAGGACACGCGACAGGACACGAGACTCTTCCGACAGCAACATGGCCTCCAACAGCCGCAGGACATCGGGGTAATACCCTGCCGAGGCCGCCACCGCGGCCACCCGCGGCCGACCCGCAGTCGGAAC